CCAGTGGTTTCCATATAGTATGTAAACCTCAGTGAATTTGTTTACATGAACTTGTCCAGCTTCCTCCTGAGCCTCTGCAACTGCTCAGCACACACAGCATGCCACGCTACGTAGCCCCAGAGCTAACTCAGTACTCTATGAGCAGTTATTCCCACCTCTCTGGCTCCAGCCTGCTCCTTGCCAACTTGAATCCCCTCAACTTTTGCACTGGAACTGTTCATTTATTATCTCTTACTGTTTACATTCTCTCACATCATATACAATACTTTATATGTTCATCATACTTGCACTTAGATTTCTCTTTTCCAGACTGAAGCATCCTTGTTTATCCATTCCCTCCACATAAACTGTTTCATGTCTATAATGAATTTCATCACCCTTCTCCGAAGCTTTGCTTGTTTTCTTATCTATAGGATGGCAAGTAAGAATTGCAATGTTACTCAAAATACGGAAGCTATGGATTTATACAGTGGCATAATGATACCTCCAGTCCTTTCCTAATAATACCCAATACTTAATTTGCTTTTTTGACCACTCATAAACATTAAGCTGATGTTTTCATGGAAAGGCATCTAATATAGCCGTAAGATGTCTTTCTGCCACATACTGATGTCACCGGTTTGTCTGCAGCAAAGTTTTCTTAAAAATAAACCAAACTGAAACAAAATCCTGAAATCCCAACCCATTAAGTATTTAGCAATAACTATTACTTTTTAAAGACGAAAGGCAGAGAGTGTTCTCTAACACTCTGATTTGTCTCTTTAACTGTTACAATACATATAAATCACCATAAGGAAAGTACATATTCACAGGAAAAGCTTATTTTCTGCATTACTGTTGAGCTTGTTAGACCTCCTGAAACAGTAGACTCAAAAATCCAGCAATGGATTCTGAAGTTGAGTCTTGAGGCCTTGAATTCCCCCTACAAAGAAGAAAAAAGACTAGTTTCCTTAAAACTCTAGAAAAAAACAAATGCCCTGCAAAATGGTAAATTGTGTGTTCATGCATCATTGTTTTCTTACTTCTAATTATTTTGAAAGCTGACACTATCCAGAAAAATACAGAAAAGGCCACAGTATCCTGCAATTGCTATAATGAACAATACATCCATTTATTAAATTATGTTCTGGCCAGGTCTGATACAGTATTTCATTTTCTGACAACAGATGGAATAGGCACAGTGATCTGCAAGGCAAACATCACGACATCTTCTGAAGTAGAAATTATTTTAGTTGGAGACAACTGCATTCTTAATCTAATTGGTTACTACAAATACATGATGAAAGAAATATAAATATAGTAAAAGAAATGTAAATGTAATTATCTACTAAAACTAAATTATCATAATAAACTGAATTTCCTGACAAGTAGAAGTAGTCAATCTGATGCCTTTCACTTGTAACACTACAATTACTGTTTTTCCCACTGAATAGGCAAATACACAACCTATCAGACAGAGGCGATGAGCAACGGCTTATCTTATTTACACACAGAACGCTAGAAACTGAAATTAGCTAGTAACAAATACTAAGATTTTAGACACATTGCCAGTTTGCTTCTCGTGAATGGTCCTGCACAAGTCATTCCACAGCACACCCACACTTCTTCAGAATTAGAGAGGCCTGAAAATTATCAGACATGTAACAGCTGCAGTTATTTTGGGGCAGAGGACAGAGACAGAAAAAAATGACAATGAATTATCAATCAATGTGAAGAGAAAAAAGTAGTAAGATGGGTATGAATCCAATCCTCCTTGCTTACACAGACAGCTTGCAGTAAGGAAGCAAGTTCTAGAGGAAGTGCCTGTGTGCTTTAAACAGATGGCATGGGGAGAGGAGCTCTTCCGCTGAAGGGCCACAGCAGGAGATCCTGTCCAAGCCCGGTGGTTAAGTCCCTGCAGATAGGTTCTGGGCTCCACCAAGAGAAACTGCCTCTCTCTGGTGGCAATCTGGACAACTTCTGCGCTTCGTTTGTTCTGACTGCTTTCTTAGGTGTAACTAGGTGGAGTGACTCCATCCAAGTAATTTTAAAACTATGTAACAATTAACTAATGTGTCTCAGCATGTTAAAAGAGGAAATTAATAAGACTATTTGACAGAGATGGTAAAAAATTGCTTTTACTGAAAAACAGTCATCTAGCACATAAAAATTAAAGAATTACATTTTGATAAAAGCACACAAGTCTCAGAAGGAAAAGTATGGAAGTTAGAAATATTAGCATGCTGATATTCCATCTTTATTATTTCTGTCTCCCAAACCACCTTCCCATTTCTTTCAGTGCACTAGCACCTTCACTTTCTGTAAACGCAGTTTGGGGATTTTTCTTCTCTACTTCTTTTTGCTTCTATTTCTTCCTTTTGTCCTTTCTGCAAGCCTCCACTATAGCTATGTGTGCTGATACTTTTCCAAAGAAAATGCAAAACTACGCAGGGTTGTCTGTTAACTTCCAGTGCTCTTCATGAAAAAAAAACCCCAAACCAAAACCTCAAATAAACAAACAAAAATACAAAACCAAATCAAACAAAAAACCCAACACACAAAACAATTGTCCATTTCCTTTTCCACCAAGTTCTTTAACACCTTTCATCCAGGAGGTTATTTAATCTAAGAAAATCTGTGGGAATGGGCAGCAAATCGTGTTGGAAACACTATGTTATTTCTATAAGCTGGATCTGCCATAAATAATACATAATTTTTATGTAATATGTAATTCATTTAAAAGATGCACAGGTGCAAAAACAATTGTTGTTGGGTTTCAGATCAACTAAAAAGAAAATAGACAGCAAACTCCATTTTCACCCTGTTGCAACTGTGACACCACACAATGCACTTAGGCACTGAACAAGCATTTTGAGAGAAATGTAAGCTTTCTGCTAAAGAAAAGACAATGTCCTTAATTCAGAAATGGAAAGAAAAGTCAAAGAATGCTGAGAGATTTTAAGAACTAGTCTTTCAGAGGACATATCATGTAGTGCATAACCAGACGTGAAAATAAGACATTTAGAGCACATGCTATAACAATTTCACAGTTTATCTGTTGATCTCTAACACCATTAAATGCAAAGCAAAATTAATGAAAAAATCATTCTTAAAACATAAATTTGCCTTGATTCAATTAAAATAGTCCATAAGAAAAGCCCCCAATCTAGTGAGCATTACTAGGGTTCAACACTGTCATTTACTTTGAAAACAAATTTTCATAGCATTATTTAGGTTGGAAAAGACCTTTAAGATCATCAAGTCCAACCACTAAACCATGTCCCTAAGCACCACATCTATGCGTGTTTTAAATACCTCCAGGGACGGTGACTCAACCACTTCCCTGGGCAGCCTGTTCCAATGATTGATAACCCTTCTGGTGAAGAAATTTTTCCTAATATCCAATCTAAACCTCCCCACCACAACTGAGGCCAATTCCTCTTGTCCTATCACTTGTTATTTGGGAGACGCGACCAACACCCACCTGGGTACAACCTCCTTTCAGGTAGTTGCAGAGAGCAATAAGGTCTCCCCTCAGCCTCCTCTTCTCCAGGCTGAACAACCCCAGTTCCCTCAGCTGCTCCTCATCAGACTTGTGCTCTAGACCCTTCACCAGCTTTGTTGCTCTTCTCTGGACATGCTCCAGCACCTCAACACCATTCTTGTAGTGGGGGGGCGCAAAACTGAACAGAGTGCTCGACGTGCAGCCTCACCAGTGCCCAGCAGAGGGTGACAATCACTTCCCTAGTCCTGCTGGCCACACTAGTTCTGATACAAGCCAGGATGCTATTGGACTTCTTGGCCACCTGGGCACACTGCTGGTTCATACTCAGCCAGCTGTTGACCAACAACCCCAGGTCCTTTTCTGCCAGGCAGCTTTCCAGCCACTCTCCCCCAAGCCTGTAGCGTTGCATGGGGTTGTTTTGACCCAAGTGCAGGACCCAGCACTGAGCCTTGTGAACCTCATACAGTTGGCCTCGGCCCACTGATCCAGCCTGTCCAGATCCCTCTGCAGAGCCTTCCTACCCTCAAGGAGATCAACACTCCCACACAACTTGGTCTTGTCTGCAAACTTACTGAGGGTGTACTTGATCCCCTTGTCCAGGTCACTGACAAAGCTATTAAAGAGAATTGGCCCCAATACTGAGCCCTGGGGAACACCACTTGTGACCAGCCACCAACTGGATTTACCTCCATTCACCACAACTCTTTGGGCTTGGCCATCCAGCCAGTTGTTTACATAGTGAAGAGTACACCCGTTCAAGCCATGAGCAGCCAGTTTCTCCAGGACAATGCTGTGGGAAATGGTGTCAAAGGCTTTACTAAAGTCTAGGTAGACAACATCCACAGCCTTTCCCTCATCCACTAAGCGGGTCTCCTTATCATAGAAGGAGATCAGGTTAATGAAGCAGGACCTGCCTTTCATAAACCCATGCTGGCGGGGCCTGATCACCTGGTTGTCCTGTATGTGCCATATGATGGCACTCAAGATGATCTGCTCCATAACGTTCCCCAGCACTGAGGTCAGACTGACAGGCCTGTAGTTCCCCAGATCCTCCTTCGGGCCCTTCTTGTGGATGGGCATCACATTGGCTAACCTCCAGTCAACTGGGACCTCCCTGATTAGCCAGGACTGCCAATAAATGATGGAAAGTGGCTTGGTGAGCACCTCCACCAGCTACCTCAGTACCCTTGGTAGATCCCATCTGGCCCCAATACTTGTGTGTGTCTAAGTGGTGTAGCAGGTCACTAACCATTTCCTCTTGGATTATGAGGGCTTCATTCTGCTCCACATCCCTGTCTTCCAGCTCAGGGGGCTGGCATATATATATATATATATGGGCAGGTACTCGTATAGCACAATGAGTTCAAAACCAAAATAATTTCGTAAGCAGGTAAACTTGAAATACTTGGCACACTTCTTTTGCCCCAGAAGCATTAATTCTTTCCATTCTGCCCACATAAAGAAGCTGGTATGTTCCAGTTGCCTTAACAGGCCACAGTCACAGCAGCACAAAGTGTTAAATTTGAAGAGCATACTGGTGAAGCCAAGGGTTCCAACTCTGAATTGCTGAGCCACAGCACAACATCAAATGCCACAGGAATTTTAAGGAACCAACAATTCTCAGGACTATTCTCAAGAAGGAGATCGAGATAGAGAGATTATTATTTACCTGCCAAGAAACGGCCCCCAAAACAGCAGTTGCAACAAGGCTGAAGAATACTAGCTGTTCCGAAATTAAACAGAAGTGTCGCATTCCTTTGGATGCCATAACTCTGGCAAGGCTGTTGTTTTCTGCACGGTGGGTATAGTATACCTTGTGACAGTCATTTAGTTTTGTGTGAAATCCCCAAAGAGTTATAAAAAAAATCACATGACAGATCATCCAGAAAATTCCAAAAATAGAAAAACCAGGTATCACAAAATACCAGAGATCCAAATCACGTAGTTTAAAGGCTGCAAGAATGAAAAAGATTAATTCAATGACTCCAACTGAGATGACAGAAAGTCTTCTGCAAATTTTACCACGGTACAAGTAGGGCTTCCATCGTTCAGTAACTGAAAGTCCACTGAAGTAAACGTCGAGAAGGGGATCTGAAATCAGGCAGCTGAAGAAACATGCCAAGGCAAATGGGTTTGTGGGGATTTGCAGTGATGGAAAAAAAAGTAAGGATGCAATGGCTCCAAAAATTGCCAAATTTGGAATTGCCAAAAAAGACTTCATACGTAAGTCAATAATCAACATGGCCAAAGCCATGACCAACAAAATAATGCTCATAGATTTTTCTACCAGCATAGTTGTGCTGGCAATTGCAAATCCAACTAGCTCCAAAAATTCAACTGTTGTCAGCAGAGTTGGTCGATGATGGATACAACCACAAATCCTCTCAACCAAAGCACATAATATCCTTAAAACAATGGCAGAAAGGAGTAAATATTTAGTAGCTTCTTCTTTCACATCTGTTTTGAAGGCAGAATTATTAAGAAAGCAGAGAAGGCCAAGCAAAAAACCAAACCAAAGATTGGAGAGACTCAGACTTGCTGTTTCCATTGAAAAATAGTAGTACAGTATGCTGGCAATTCCAAGAACAAAGAGCCCCAAAATAAATATTACCAAAATCAGTGCATCTGCAGTTTTTTCCCATCTGACATAAAGGCCCATGCAAATGGCAACCAGTAAGTTGATTCTGGCAAGATAGCCAAGGTATCTGACTGACGAATGCATGTTCGCTTCTCTGTTTGCTTCTTCTAGCCTGGTCATTGCTGCATAGAGACAATGACTAACACAGTAACGCAGTGACCTACACATGAAAACTGCAGTTAAGGGGTTTTACCCACTTCACTGAAAGTAAATATTTGGGTTTCATCCAACAAACAGAAACCAATAGCTGCCTTTTGTAATATCATTGCAGTAACAGTGGTCCAGAATCACTGAAGTCCTGGAAGAAGAATTAAAATAAGTGTTAGTGACAAATAATTCCTTTTAATCATACACTACATAAACATGACACATCCCTTCTCACCAAGGAGTTTAACTTCTAAATCAAAAACCACATAATGAACATCAAGTGTGTTGCTAACGGTCATCCAAATTGGGGTCATTATTAAAACCAATATAAAATAGAGTTTGCATAAATCTTATTTCATAATGTGAGCAAGAGGAAAAGGTAAACCAAACATGGCCTGTGCAGTTTTTCCACAAAAAACTTCCACTGGGTATCTATATTGGATATCTATGGATATCCAAAATATTCCTATGATATCCATTACCTTCTAAACTATTTTAATATTATTTTAAAACATTGTTTTACTTCACCATTACATTTGGTAAGTTCTCACTTTATACTAAACCTTTTCACTATGCTTTGCAAAGCTTCTTTTTACTTACTGTTAAACAGCTACAAGATTTACAAAAAGAACTTTGTAATCAGTTAACGAGCTTAAACCCACAGTAGATCATGAAAAAGGATATTACCATTATCTCCATTTTGCAGGAGGAGGGTGGACACACAGATGCATCAACTGATTAGGCAACATTTTCAGAGACAAAATTCAGACTTTTCTCAATATACAATCAAAACCTTTATTTTCACTCCACAAGACACTTTTTCCCCCACAAAACCAAACAAAACAATCAGGATAAATACTGTATTTCAAACATAAGCTTGTCCGACCCAGATCCATTTAATAGACACAGTTTTCTTTTCAGTATGGTATAGGAACAGATAGTAGTATTTTTAGGGGGAATTTTGTAAGAAAACGTGGCTAGGGACCTCTCACTGGAGATAATTAGTATCTTAGGGGATAAGCGTTTCCCTGGTCTCAACTCAGTCTTGAAACACGAGGACCACTGCAATCCTACTGGTGTTAAAACTTACTGAGTTTACATATAAACAATACTATTAATTGCTATCATTAGAAACAGAATAGTTGTTGAGGAAATTCTATTTCCACTAAAATCTCCATCTCACTGTATCTCTATACTTTTCTACTTACCACAAAGTTGTCAGAGGCATAGTTCAGAGCTCTCGTTAGAGGCAAAAAAGGTTTGTACTTTGAAGCCACAAACCTGCTCTGTATGCAAAATGTGTTGTAAGTGACAAGAATTACTCAGAGAACAAGCTTTCTGTGAAACTATGTGTAAAAAGAACCACATCTACTTCTGATTTTTGATCCTTTTGTGCCTAGAAATTCTAAACCAGGAGTCACTGAACAAATAAAACAGACCCTATACCTCCAGAGAAAACAAGGCAGAAAATAACAGGTGGATCACAAGAAAACACAGAAACAAGAAAATCAACATCAGTATTTTTTCATCTCTAATTTTCTTAACAAGTATCACAAATTACAAAGAGCCCCAAAACTACCAGTCATCCAAATTCCTTTAATTAGAACTTACTGAAATTCTATGTAGTACTTATATTTTTGTATAACTTTTTGTTTTTAAAGTTATTAACAAAAAGTTTGTCTAAGAGTATGATTATAAAGGTGAGGGGCAGAGTCCCTAACAAGTAAGGAGACTCACATGTAGCCTTTATCATTTTTTAATTACCCATCTTGAAGAGACTTCCAAAGAGTTAATGGTACGAGAGTGCAGCCAATGTGTCAAGAACACTCAGAGCTAGGTTATAGCTTACTGCTTTTGTTTATAATGCTGGGCAGGAAGTATGAAAGGACATCTTGACTGAAACTCAAAACTTAGACTTTATTCTTGCTTGATTTTTAAATTCTTGTTTTTTAAACCAGTGAACAACAAAAGACAAAGTGATTTGCTGATTTGAAGACTGACATCCACTGTAAAACCAGCTTGAGTAATTCATGTAGAGACATGCTACTACTTTTGTTTAAATTACATAAGTTTGCTAACATATATTTTCATATTATGCAAAATACCTAACAACATTGCAGATATTACTTGGACGAACTAAGCATTAAAAATCTGTTTAATTGAAACAGAATACATGTATGACAACTTGAGCCATTTACTTCAAATCCTACACATGCCCCTCCACCCTCCCAGTTATCTCTCGTTCAAACCGTGAATAGAATTACAGAATCATTTAGGTTGGAAAAGACCTTTAAGATCATCAAGAACAGAGGAACGATTTCACATCTCCTTCCAACCCACGACACTAACGCACAACTACTGCCACACTGAAGCACATCTGCCACTCTGTCCTGTTATCTCGATTCCTGAGCCCTTCTGGAACCCCTCCAAGTCAAGGGACTAACACTGTACGTATTCACTGGGACAACGGCCTCACGGAAGTCAGCAGGCTGGCTCATTCGCAAAGGCCGGAAGCTCCCGCCTAACATCTGGCTTAAAATCTTGCTACTGTCACTAAATTATTTTCTGGTGGGATCACTGCACTAGCAAACTCCCCTGCAGGCAAGCAGCCACTCTGACAGAAAACTACTCTGACTGGTTCAGCTTGTGCCAAGCAGACGGAGTTTTGCTGCCATCGTATCGTGAGAAACAGGGAAGAGAAGCTCCTCTGCTGCTGCCCCATGTGCTGCGCCGGGTGCCGGGGCAGGGGAACATGCCCGTTCCCAGTGGAAAGACACAAAGTCCGCTCAAGCACAAAGTATTCACAAAATGACAGCTCCAACCATGAATGCAACCTCCTCTTCCTGATCTTCTAGCCAATTAGCAAAAAGATGTACTGCTGAACCACACTATTAATCATTAGTCTTTTTCTAACCAAAACACATGGTCAACCTCTTGGTAAAAAGAGGAAAAGGCAGCATTTTCATGATTAATGTATCCCATCAGGCAGATATTACTAAATAAAAGGAATGCAGCAATTCAGCCGTTTTTAATAGGAAATTTCAGTTCTCATTTGCTCTTTAAAACATAGCTATTGGTTACTCAATTCTGTTAAGATTTTGACTGTTTAGACCAAAAAATGTTCAAAGTTGGCAGATAGTTCTGTTTCTTTTTTGAACTAATGGCCTTGGAGTTTCAAGTTGCAACACTTGAGCTACATATTTGAGCAAATCACGCTTAGCTCCAAAGCAGAATGTGTAAACCCACTTTTAAGTATCTGTCAACTTTTGCAAACACAATCTTAAGCAAAACCTGGAGTCTAAGTAGATTTAGAGACTAACTTATCCAAGAGCTTTCCTGTATGTAAAGGAACACCATTCCCAAAGTAATTTTTACCCTAATTTACCTAAGAAAGTAGAAAAAAGAACCAAAATCCCAAGACGGTTCAGTAGTTTAACTGCAGTTGATTTAAAGTCCAGCTGAGGCCTATCTAAAATACCAGACCCACTTTCCTTCAGCTTTGTTCTTCCAGTTTAGCACATATTTTTTTTAAAAAAGCAACTCTGCGAGTCTTTTTTTTAAACAAACAGCCGTAATGAGCTAACGCATTAGTACAGTAGCCTTAAACCTCAGAAGAACAACTCCGTTAGTTTTCAGACGTTAATACTGAGCCCACAGTACAGATTACCGGTGTCAGCCACAGGGAGAGCACCCGGCCGAAGCACCAGCTGTCGGCCCGGCCCGGGAAGTTTAAGAAGGGCATTTGACTCTGTGGAACGGGC